GGACAACAAACTTCCCTTCCATGAATGCCTCATGGACTGCTGGATGGGTATGTGGCAGGTTTGCCATGTCCTTCAGGAAAACCAGCATCCAGCGAGCATAATTTGTATGCCCAAAAGCAAATAACCATGGGCACAAATCTTCAAGGGCCTTCAGGGTCAGAGGCCAATTACCCACTCGCTGACCACGGATGAGGCGGGAGTTGATCATGAGGTAGTCCCTCACTGTTAGCCAGTAAGAGGCTCTCGGAGCATTTTTCCGTAGTCGACTCTCCCAAATATTCATGCTCTCATGAGGCCCATAGCCCTCTTGGCAGTACTCCTCATATGCCTGCAGTTCGAGAACATGGATCCAGGCAAGGGTAAGCTGGTAGGCATACCGTGTAGGTTTGACATGCTTGCTGCTCAACAGAGATGCTGCAACACCGGTATTGAAGATCTTTGCCAGGGCAAACATCCTGTCCCATCCAGAGCCAGCTAACAGCTTACCTCCACACTCTTGGGAGGTCATCTCAATGTGAAGGAATCCCATGAAGCACACAATTTTTGATTCCCCAACTTCATCTGGGAACTTCCACTGGCATTTTTTCTGTTGCATATAGAGAGGGCAGTCAGCCACTATGACTGGAACCTGACCAGGATTTACAAAATCTGTTGCTTTCATGACCACAAGCATTGCGTGTTTCTGCATGGCCATAGATGCCGCCTTCTCATAAAAAACAGGGAAGACACCAATTGTGGCCCTTGGCCTGACATCCTCTTGCCGCTGACCATGAGAGAAAAATCCAGGGTAGGTCACGGGTATGTCCTGAAGTATTCCATGATTTTCTCGCAAGACCGTTTGGACATGGTTAAGCCATGCTTCCTCAGGAACTCCTGCTCGGGTGTTCTTTGTGAAAGTTGGCCTCGCTGTTCCATGGAATAGATGAAAGTTTGATTTCCCCAGCATATTCAGCAATGTATGGCACAATAGCAAAGTCATCTGGAAGTTTGACAGAGGTGCCTTCCAAACCTTCAAGGACTAGAGGAGGAGGGTCAACCCCCATGTTGTCATTGGTGACATGGTTGATTAGGGATATAGCTGTGCCATGGAGCTCAAATTGACCAGACACATCAATATTATCAACTCCAGCGGTAGTAAAAACTCCTCGCTTCATGTTAGAGGGAACAACAACTCCATGAATTGCAAACTGCCTTGACATGGCACAGGCAAGGTTCCTCCTGATATCCATGACTCGTTCATAGGATACTGACACACCAAGTTCATGAAAGGTTTTAATGATCCCTTTATTGCGGTCATTTCCATGCATTTTCAGTCCCACATAGAGCGGAAAGGGTGTTTCTCTCTCCTTCCTCTGATAGAGGGTAAGAGCTTGGCTAGTTTGCCTTGCAGCATTGCTGCATATCAATTGACTTATAGTGCAGGCAACCCTGGTCCTGGCACTGATGGTGACCTGATTCTCTTCATTCTGGTCAACAGAGCTTGAGCCTTGAATCAACACATCTAGAAGAGTCAGAAGAGGTTTTGCAACTGGCTCAGTAAGACAGGTTGAAGTGAATGATCCATTGAAGGGCATCTGTTGCTGGAGGATGTGTTTGCGCAGCATTAGACCCACTTCAACTATGCTCTTTGCCTCATCTTCAGTGACCTGAAGGCAAGAGGTCCGAGCTACAGCAGCACCGGCTGTCTTCTTGTGACATATGTACACATCACGACCCTCTGAGAAAGCAGACCATTCAGGCCCAAGCTTCTTGAGGAGGTGTTCTTTGAGTCGTCCACTGTGCACACATGTTCCTATCCAGTCTGAGCCCAGCTGCTCTAGACGACAATTGTAAAGTTTTTTCAAATCACTTAGTTTACAGGTAGTTTCATTACTCTGTATATATGCCACAAGGTGTGCAATAACTAATGGATCATACGGCATTTGAATTTGATCTGACTTCTTTTTGTCTGACTGAGCATCATTCTTCAATTTTGTGTAGCAGGATGCATGATAGCTAATATCACCCGCTCCCGCATCAACAGCTGTGTTCAGCCTAGCATACACTTCCCAGTTGTTTGATTCCACAGCCCATGTGTGGAGATTCTTAGAGCAGTTGTCACTCCTGACTCTGTATATGGGTTCAGTCGTATCACCTTCACATTTTTCACAGTAAACACACTGTAGTTTTTCACGTTCCAGTGTAGTATTAAAACTGGACCTCGTTTTTTTAGGACTGACAGTTTGCATGTCATTGTTTGAGTCTTGTTTTGGTCTCTTTTTTAAGATTCGCTGCAACACATGAGACTGGAAGTGTCCTCGACATGCATGATGGTATCTTGCTTGATTTTTTCCCAAGGTGTGGGCTATCCCTGACCCATCATTTAGTCTCCCCAATGTCATTCCAAAGCGCATTGGGATGTTATTTTCATCAAAAGCTTTTAAATCATCTTCAAGGGCTTGGTACGCCTTGAGATGACACTCCTTATAATATGGGTGGCGCAAATCTTTCGTTGTGTTTTGTTGGCATAAGCAACACAATGACCAGTCAATAGATTCATTTACATTCTCCATTATGAGGCAAAAAATGGCAAAAGCTCAGAAGATCCAGACAAATATAACTCAACGAAAAAGTGATTTACAGGCACTACAGCTATTAACAAGCATAAATGTAGAAAATGTCTCCACTCAAGGGTTTTATTAATCAAAACCTATAAAACACTAACGCTCAGAGGATACAGAATAACAACCAAAACCGAAAACACAATTTAACATAGAAGTGTAATGGACATGCAACATTCACTTCAAGATCTCTGGTACAGCAGGGTTGGCAAGGAATGAGAAATGGTGCACCATGGCAAGAGAAACAATGATGGCAATCATAAATACAGGCAGTGAGACACGGAATAGATAAACCCTTATGTGATGTCACTCTTTATACTTTTCACGTTCCTTCCCAATTTGAGTGGCTACAAACAGTCACTTCGCCTTGTTACACGAATACACTACAAAAGCACCCAGAAACAGCCACTTCACCTTGTTATGAATTTTGCTATATCGCTGATCTCTAGAAAACGGGCCTACATGGCTATGTTCAGAACTCAAAAGTGCTACCTACTTTTTAGAGATCAGAGCTAATCCACAGGCCTGCTTAACCTTGGGAAATGCCTCTGATGGCAGCAGTTACAATTATGTAAAAAAAACAATGATTTTATCACTGGAAACAAGTTTTTTAAAGTCGCCAGATTCTCAAAAAAAGATGCTTAAGATGCGAGATTACGTAAATCGCCAGGGATGGCCAAAAGTCGCTTAATCTAGAGAAAAAGTCACTAAATTGTCAACTAAATGAAGTCAGTTATTCTGAATGGTTTAGGCAACTTAGAGGGGGGGGGGGGGGGGGGGGGGGGGGGGAATAATCTCTTTTGTCTTACAGCTTGCTTTTATGGCAAAATGCATTGGACTAATCCATCTTGACATTAGCAATGAAGCTAACAAAATAGTTTCCCAGAGCTAGGCATTTTGTATAGGTAAGTTCTCTAATCAGGGATTTTACCCAAGTTACTGATATTGCAATCACACTTGGTGTGCTGTCGGTGTGCAAAGACTCATACAAAATGAAAATGAAATGAAAATCAACTTAAATGTCAATCTAGGAGAATGTTTATTGATCCTGGGGGTAAATTAAGGAACGGTCATGTAGGCTAATTTAATGACATGAAAAATGCTTATAGGCTACTGTGTATTTAAGCTATGTGACAAACGAGACAGCTAACTTTCAGAAATAAAACAGCTGTTTTGTTTCAGTTGATGCAATGTCTCATCATCTGAACACGGTGAAGAAAGACACAGTTCATAACTCGCCACACCTTCAACTACTGAAATAAATTATGACCATAACCCCTCATAGCCAGTAATATTGATGTGTAACACATCATGTGATCTTTATTGCAAATTTTTTAGCAAGATTTCGTCAAGATTTCGCCCTTTGTCCCAGATGAGGCACAACGACCATTATTCATACAAAAAAGTGTCCATTACCAGGGATTTGACATAAAAAGGACCTTCAAAGGGTGATATAGTTTTTACATAACAACCATCTCATTAGATAAAATGTGAAAGTTGACTACAGAATATTTTCAGGCTAAAATAAGGTGGTATACAAACGTTTTTTTCTGTTCAGGAAGGGCCATTTTGTATTTTATGGATACCGACCAATAGGGGGCGCCGCCAACTTGTATCCAATGATTTTTGGAAACTTTAGACCCATACCTAACACCCTGCCAAAAATCAAAAACTTGTCACAAAGTGAACAATTGTTATGAAAATTCACGAATTCCCTCCAGACTATAAGAGGCATGTCTGGAATGAATGACTGCTATCATTTAGAGAGGCTGATACATCTACTGGTCGATATTGTTTCTTCTTGTATCAGTATCAGCCTATATGTGAATGCAGTGGCCAATTCATTACTGCATTCATCAGCCGTGCCCTGAGATCAAGTAAAGCACATGTATGGTTAATTGTTAATGTTTTGCATGATTTGTTAATAAATGCTTTTTTTATTAGATAAAAAATATTTCCTATCAATGTGTCATCTTTATCATGTAAATGGAAGAAAGAAAGACAATGTCATCTCCCAAGAATTGGTCCAAAAATCTTGCCGGCATATATTGGGGTATAGTTGGTGTGAAAAAAATGGATAATTAATGTCATAAAAAGATTAAAAAAATTAAAAAAACTGTATCGGTCGATCCATAGTATAAATGTTTAAGTGAATACCACATGGACTCAAAATGGCCTTCTATAGTATGTATCACGTCTTATTTAATTTCCAGGTAAGCCTGCTGTTATGGTTTACTTGTTAAAGCAGCTTTAAAAGCAACATTTTTAAAAAGTAATAAATCTAATAACGTCAAAGGTTGGGATTATCAGAGATCTTAAGTGTACCGTTTAATGAATCTAATGACATATTTAGTGAATGTATAAGCTGTTGTCTTGTGGAACAGATTTTGGTTTACTGACTTGGCGTAGGCCTTCTCCAGCAGAGCGCTCCAGAACTCATTGTTCTGTTTTGAGTGACAGTAGATGAGCTCTCCGTTGATCGTCGGCAGCCGGTCGTCTACCACCACGTCTACCCACTCCCCGAAGATCCAGAACTGGAAGTGGAAGATCCCAGCATAGTTCTCTGGGTGCTTTGAGTCCCACTCCTGCTCTTTCCAGTCAGGAATTACCTGGAAACATGCGAACACAATACAGCAATTACCAAAACTCCAACCGAACAAACCTGTAAATCTGCTGGTAGTAAACAGGCTGAATATCGGATTAGGAAACATTCAGTCATCGCATGCATACATAGTTGGATTTTTACAAGGGAGGTTTTGTTTATGAATTTCAAAGCAATGCAACTGAATCAGCTGCATTGTTGTTTTAGGTAATCATACATAGTTTCCTCAATTCATTCCTGCGGCGATACATAAATGCATTTATCATTTACTAAGAATCTTTGGTATTTTAGTTATGAGAAAAAAATTAATTGATGGCTGGACGACATTCATGTTTTGTTTATTGTGTGTGTGTAGAATTATGAAAGAGCATCAGTTTCATTTAGTTTCAGTTTTAGTAAGCCAACCCTTAAATGTTTGATTAACTACAATATTCTGATTTAGGCATCTCAGGAGCTAGAAGGGACAGTTTGAAGTTAAACTCACCCTCTTCCAAAGGTCTGGTTTTAAAGCCAGACAGGAGCAGGCAGCAACAAACCAGCAGTTTCCTACAACGCCCTGGTTCAAGTCATGGGAGCTGATGCCCTCTATGAACAGGTGTGGGGTTTCCGATATTTCCTGAAAAAAAAAAAAGAAGAGAGAGTTTGTTTTTATTCGAAGGTGGTGATTTTAAATTAGAAACTCATCACTAACACCTTTAATAAACAGTAGATATGGATGAGCACAACTTTGCAACACCTCTCAAATCAGCAAATAGAGAAAAATATCCTTACCCAGGAACCGTTTCTAATTTCACTGACATTCCAACAATGGTTATTACTGGATGGATTTTACTGCCATTTGTCATCACAAAAATAATGTGATACCTTAAACTACATGGTTTAAATCTGAACACTGAATAACTGTAAAGCACGGTAGAGGAAGAGACATGATCATGTGCATAGCAGGAAATGTTATAATGTCTCTGGGCTTTAAGGGAAACAAAACGTAAAGCTACAGATAGTTTGGATCAGGATTGACTTTATTTTACCTTGTGTGAGAACAAATACGAGGATGTTGACTTTTTATTGTACGATGATCAAGATCCAGTCAAAGGCGACTCTAGATAAGATTTGTCTGAGACCAGGGTTCCTATGATGTATGGAAAAGGTTAGAGTTTAATTGAAGTGGGGTTGGTGCGCCTTTAATGTTGGGGGACCTGTGTTTTATTGTGTTGCTGTGGCAACATGTGCATAATGGAGGAGCCTTTCATTTAAAGTGTGTGAAAGTAAATTATTGTGGGCAGGTGAGATACTTGTATTTCTTAATCTTTAGTGTCTAATTTTTGTGTCATTCGCTCCGTCACTGTCACACCTTCATTCTTTCTCCTTTCTCCGGATGGAGGAATGAGCCGGTTTGTCAGTTCGTTCTTTTTCTTTCTTTCTTTCTTTCTTTCTTTCTTTCTTTCTTTCTTTCTTTCTTTCTTTCTTTCTTTCTTTCTTTCTTTCTTTCTTTCTTTCTTTCTTTCTTTCTTTCTTTCTTTCTTTCTTTCTTTCTTTCTTTCTTTCTTTCTTTCTTTCTTTCTTTCTTTCTTTCTTTCTTTCTTTTCTTTCTTTCTTGCTTTCTTTCTTTCTTTCTTTCTGGCGCTAGTGTTAACTGTCCTTTTTGTTTACAGGAGGAAACATTGTATCATCTTTTTGTTGAATGCTTAAGATTGAATCCTCTTTTTGTTCTTTTGGATCGTTTGTTTAGTGGTTTTGGTGTTCAGTCCTCCAGCTGTATTTTTATTTATGGTCCTCGGTATTGTGCAAACAAGAGATCTGTTCATGTGCTTTTAAATTTCATTTCTGGAATGGCAAAACTAGCAATATGGATATCAAGAAAGAACAAAATTAATGGTCGTCAAACGGAAGATGCCTGTGTGTTATTTAAGAGACTGGTCATTGCTCGTGTTCGGGTAGAATTTGAGTTTTTTAAGTTGACAAAGAGTATAAATGTTTTTGTAAATAAGTGGGGCATTAATGGTGCTCTATGTTCAGTAGATGAAGAATCTTTAGTTTTTGCATTTTGATGTTTTTATTTTATTAACTTTGTTTTGTTTTATTGATTGCTGGATTGTGTAATAAAGGCAATTTTAAACTCAAAACTCTTTCTTTCTTTCTTTCTTTCTTTCTTTCTTTCTTTCTTTCTTTCTTTCTTTCTTTCTTTCTTTCTTTCAAAATGGTCTCCAACCAGTGACAAAAACCAGTGTTCATCTTTTTGGATCCTGTAGCAGCCATGCTTTCCAATGCGTCCTGAAACTAACCTTTTTTTTGGCATGATGTTACTGCCTAAATAAATGACTAATTTAAAGTGATTGATAATTCATATAAAACACAGTTACTATAAATAGGAAACAAAACATAATGGCCTGTTTACCGCTGTTGCCAAACACTCTAAAAGACAATATAGATCCAACTTAAATGAATTTCTTCAGTTGGTATCAAATTCTACCCCATAGAAGAAATCCATGCCTTAGTTGTATGAATCATATTTAGAGTTCCCTTATTTGAAAAGCTAAAAATACTACTATTAGTTGTTAAAGATGGCTACAGATTTCCTATTTTAGAAAAATAGCATGTTGTGTTCATATCATATTTCGTTGCTCCAAATTACTTTTACTTCACTGGACTCAGGGCAAAATGGCTCTTTGGTTGGGAAAGGTGCAGACCCATGATCTAGATTTTCTAAGACCATATTGAATGTCCAAATACTGTATTTTCAAAGAAGTTGTCAAACCTTGGTGATCTTTTATCTTTGAGAACTGTGAAATTAAGGAAACTGACCTGCAGTGTGTAGATTCATGTCTGTTATCTGCTCTATATAAGGGAATAACTTTTTCTTTTCTGCCCTCTATATTTGCAGATTCTTGATTAAAAGCATTCAAGATCTGAGAACTATGGGAAATTGAGTCAGAGAAAATATGGACTATCTTTATGTTGGACCATAATGAGACAGTACCCAACGACTTGAGGTGACCATATTTGTACCATGTATTAAACCATTAACAGATCAGTGATGTAGTCAGAATCTTGATTAGGTAAAGGATTCAATGTCACACATAGATTTTAAAATTAACCCTTTAAGTAACTTGCAAGCAAAAAAACAAATTCATATGAACTACTTCTTCCATTCAAATTAGGAGAAGTGATGCAGTCTCATCAGAGGAGATTCAACCTTTTTGGTTAAGACCACAAAAAAGGAACCTTTAATAAAGAAAAAAAAAAGGGGAAATATTAATGGAGAACAATATACTGACTCACCCCTGGTCGTTTCCACTCCACATATCCAGGAGGCGGTTTGCTGTAAAACAGAGAGGAATTGGTGGCTGGGAACTCCGGATCTTCAAACAATGTCTTGGTCTGGATGTGGTGCTTCTTCAGGTGGGAATAGTGCTGATTCTTGTAAGGCACAGCGGAGGAGAACATGGTGGAGATGCTGAAGCCTCAAGGCTGCAGATGAGATAGCAGAGGATTTTGGTCTCAATATGAGTCGAATAAGAAATTATTTAGTGTAGGGGGGGGGGGGGGGTTACTGCATTGCATCTCACAAACTCATGATCTTGAACTCCCCCATGAAGTTCCCTTATCAAATGGTAAAGTCAGAAAAAAAAAATGTTATCTATGGTGTTGGAAAAAAAATGTCCAAGTGCTAAAAAGATTGAAAGTGTTGAAGAGAGTAATATTAACTAGACGTTACAGTTTTGGTTTTGAATAACAACACTTAGCATAGCTGAACCAAAGTAAGAAAGAAACAGGATCTCTGTGTTTATAGTTTTCTTACAGCCGAATTTAGTTTTTTCACTTTAAAAAGAAAAACAATGTAAGACTAGAATGCTACCATGATCCAACGGTAGTATTTGTTGATGACTATAAATTTCTCAAACACATGGATTATTGTCAAAATAAGGGATTCAAATGTTAGAGTAACTGTAGTAACTTCTAGGGTTTCTTTGACTAGTTGTAGATATTAATAACTGTAGGACACTCTGTTGTTGTTAATTGTTATGTCAAGTCAAATACATATGACCACTGATTGAGAGCAGCCTAGTGATGATGGGCTTAAGATGATCCTAAATGCGCACCGTTGGGCTTAATTTAAATGTAGAAATTGCCACGTGTTTGGCAATGGGGGATCGGTTCAAATATTTCAAGCTGGTCTCCCCAGACTTTTTTTAAGTAACTAATTTTTTAAGTAACTAATTTTTATTTAATAATTTTTGTAATTTGAATGATTGAAAATGCATTTTTTTAAGGACCAAATTATAAAATTTGATCCTTTATAATATATAAATTATAAGATTTAATTTGAATATAAACAAATTCTTGGAGTAGTAATGTCTTTTAAGCCCTAGAACCCTGCTAGTGTCAAGCATGGTGGTGGTGGCATTATGATGTGGGGTCCATTTTACTCTCAGTGCAAGTGAAAGATGTTTGGAATAAGAAAGACAAGTATCATTTGGGTTTTTTTTTTTTTTTGGAGTAATCTCAAATTAGAAGTAGACCAAATTATGACAGGATAACTTCAGATTTTGTCAGATTTTGAAGAGCCCGCACATCAGAATGTTGAACTTTATTTGCTAAAATTAAGAGGTATGGAGGAATACCAAAACTTTAGAGATTAACGGCACAATTCAGAGCTATTGAATAGTGAGAATAATCCACAAAGCCTCTAACTGACTAATAAAAGTTTCATGTGGAAAAAATCTGGTCTCTATGTTTACACACATTCATTTCATTCAAATATGGTTCCTGATATCCGTTTAGGTTTTCCATTCCATCAGAAATCCAACCTGAAAAACTAACAGTTTAAAAACCTGACTAAAATCCCAAAATGAACATTGTGAAAATTCCCACACATGAGGATCAGTGTAAACGTCTGCCAGCTTCTGCATTTGCAGTGGTTCAGTTAAGGCTCCAGCAGGCCAGCACCTCTGTAAACATTCTAGCGTTTTATGGAAAGTCTGAATTACGAAACAACTGTTAAACTAAATGGCATTCGCACATGATTTGGTTCAAACCTGAACTCTCAACCTTTAAAGAACATCAGGCTCGCTTTTGAGACATTTTCTCAATCTGATTCCGGTTTTGTTTTTTGATTCAAGGAGAACAAATAATCTGTAGTTATACCAGAAGTCATGGTGACTGAAACAGCTTTACTCTCCAGAGAGGAACTCTTAAAATAGTTTTTCTCCTAGACTGACCGCTCTGTTTACACAGCCCTCACCAAAGTAATCATCTTGATAAGAATCCTAATGCTTCAGTCATTCCCAAGAATCAAACAACAGTCTGAATTAGAGTGAGTGGGAGGAAGCAGCAAACAGCAGATATGAGGAAAATCACCTGACTTGCAATAGGTGGACATAAATCATAGTGATTAAAGCAGTTATTACCAAGTAATAGAAAGTTGAACATTTTTAGAAGCAGATATGAGTGAAGAAAAAGCAGATTACTGTACAGTACCTCTGTAATAGCTGCAGATCAGACGCTCATTCTCTGCTTCATAATAAGGAAGTTTCCTGGTCGTGTACCTGCCTGTCTCTGACTCACCCTCCCATAACAGTGGCCTATATCCACACTTCTCTCTGCCCCACCCCAGCCTGTTTACTCCTGTAGACTCGACTCTGTAGGCACCACGCTCACATTTTACCTGCATACCTGAACGCTGAGCTGCCTTACTAACTGATTAGTCATTATTAATCAGCAGTTTCTTATAAATGAGCTGAGATACACTATTTTGAGTTCAGTATGCACAAATTTTCTTTCTTTATTGGAATATTAAAATGACACATGTTGAAATATATCCAAGGAATGTACATTAATATTTCATTAGGCTGTTACAGGTGACAGCAACCTAAATTTGCGGCTTTACTGGCATGAACTGTACATGCACCAACATGGCGATTGTTTATCGGAGAGGAAAAAAATGATAAAACTATAAAAAAAAAGTATCAGACAACCACAAACTTTGCTTTTTATGGTCAGAATCGATTAGTTTTCATCAGTCTTTTTCAGGTATACAATCAAACACATCTATTAAACTAAAATAAAATTATTAATGTATGGAAATGCATAATTATGTACAAATTTGTGTTACATTTTTTTTGTCATTTGTCAGCATGTTAAATGAAGACCATATTCAAAAATATGAACATTTTCTGACAATAATTTGATGGCTCAGTCCTTAGGGGGTTAAGGCGAAGTGAAGCAAGTGACAAAACAAGAACATAAATTAATCCAAAACAGCACTTACCTACTGAAAAGTCTTTTTCCTGGTGAGATGATCCCAGATTCATTCAAACATCCCTCTAGTCAGGTGCTTAATATTCAGTCCACGCTTACAGTTTCAGGAGCCACAGCAGAAAACAGCTGTCTGCCACACCTAATGCTTTCTTTCTCTGCTGCTCTGAGGAGTATTCAAAAACATGGACCAAAAACTGGCCAGACCAGCTCCACGCTGCAGGACGTGTCATGCAAAAAAGGTTGATGTATTGGAGGAAGGGGAGACTGAAACCAAACACCTTAGAATCCCCTTCAGGTGAAACAAGCACAAACCTGTTCGTCTAGTTTAACGGCACTCAAAACTCTAATTTAAGGTAAAAGATTGGTCATACAGATGAGTTTCATGTGGATTTCTGTCTGCACTGAATCTGCTCTTTTAGTGACTAAACAGAACTACTGTAAGCTGCATCCACACAGTGTCAGTAGACTGTGGGAAGGAGAGAAACAGGCAGGAACCCAGTGGTCTTTGCTCCACTATAGAGGAGGCACTGTGACTCCCCTTACCCTGACTGAGATCTTTTTTTTTTTAAAGGGCCAACGATTATTATGGGAGTCAAAGCAGGATATAGGAGGCCTAAACTGCTAAAGAGGGGAGTGAAGACTTTTATCATGAGTAGAACTTAAAGAGAACATTACACTGAAGACAGGAAGGAGTTACTCACAATGTATGGTATAATGAAAAACTTTCCTGTGATAGTGCTGGAAGTCCTGATCAGACCTCAAGGAGAAAACTCTTTACCAGATTACCTAAACAAAAGCTGCAGTGTATCCTGCAGAGCACATTTCAGGGAAAACGAGGTGGTTATCAAGAACTCTGCTGCTTTGAGAAAATGTTTCCTGCTCAAAGACTCTGTTACTCACACAGCGGGATGACGAATGAAGGACATTATGAACCTGTTAGCTGGTCACACCTGAAACACCAAATATGATTTTGAAAAAACTAAAATAAATCAGTTGCTGTTCTTTAACAAAGGAGGGTCTGGTAATGTGTTGAGACAATTAATCGGTTAATATACAGATCCTTACTCTAGTACTAAAAAACCCAATGCAGTTTATCAGCATTTTATATGGTAGTCTAGCATTAAGAAAACCAGAAGTTAAAACAAAAAAGATAATTTAATGATGAAAAAGAGAAATAATATATTTTTCTATTCCCTACAGAAGGACTTTTTTCTGGAAGAGTTACATAGATCCACAGATCATGTGGGAGACTCTTTAAACGACAAGAAGGTAGACATTGTTAAAAGGAAGCGATAAGGTTTAAAGCACTCCCGAGCATTAGTGCAGTAAAACCAAAACTGAAAATTTAAACTGAATTGAAAAGACAGTGTGTATAAGAAGACAGACATTCCACATGAGCCTGATTCAGTGGTGAATCAAGGAAGGTTTCCATTTCGTGATGGGGCGTTCAGGAGGTGCAAAAGGTCCAGGCAGGGTGGCAATGCTGGACCTCTTTATTGGAATAGATATAATATATCTAATTTTTCTCAATAAACTCAACAAAACATAAAAAAGAAACAATTATTTTTTTTATTTTTTTGAAGGTTCTCATTTAAACAACTACAATTTTAGATACAGGCAAAAAAAAGTTTTTAAAAAATTACACACGAAACAAATATATTTTAAAAAATCCAGAAAAATTATATTTTTACCAGTGTAAGGCTGTGGTGTAGGGGTAAAGCATGTGACCCATGTTCAGAGACTTTGGTCCTCAACATGACTGTCACAGGTTACCAGTCGGGTGACCTTTGCCACCTGTCTTATGGGCCTTTCAGACAGGCTGCGACGACCGCACTGCTGCGCTGTGAAACCCATTCTTTTCAATTGCTTGCGCCGCGCCAGGGCGGTTTATCGCTGCGGCGAGCAAAGCGCAAGCACAGCGCAGCGCAGCGCTTCGCGAGCTCGCGCGCAGGCCAGGTCAAAGTTGAACTATGTTGAACTTTGACCACGGCGCGCTGTGACGAATGCACGCGTGGCCAATAGAAACCATCGGCTGGAAAGACCAGGAAGCAAAATGGAGGAAAAGCTTATACTGTGTGTGTCTGAATTCCCCGAACTATATGACACAAGTTTGCAATTTATTTCACAAGCGGGAACTCCCCAAGCTGCTCTCTGGACCTGAGTGTTTCGTGCACCCACAGCCTCTTCTTTCTTGCTGCTCTTTTTCTTCGAACTAGCAGGGCTAGTGCTAGCGCTTGCTTCTTAGCACGGGTCAGATACATATTTGCTGCTGACCAAAAGCTGGAACAACAAACAAATGACTAGACCCGGCAACCCAGCCGGCGCAGCGCAGCGCAAATTGCTTCCTATCTGAAAGGCCCATTACACCTTACTCTCATGTCCTGCCTACTTTTAGACAAAACACAAAAATAAAGGCCACTAGAGCCCAAAAATAATATTCGAAAAAAATTTAATCAGCCATCACTTTTAATAAAGCATAAAAGGGACTTTTTTTTCTGGGCAGAAAAAATGTCTCACAGATAGATCCAAAGCTATTAAACTATTTCTTTGGTCTGTGACTCCTTCAAGTTACTATCATCTGCCATGGTTGAAAACAGCTAATTCTTTACAAACCTTAAAGCAACAGTGTGTAATTTTCAGCGACATCTAGCGGTCAGACTGCAGACTGCAGCAACATGAATATCTCCCCCCCACCGCTTCTCCCCCCCCAACAGTACGGCGAGCGTTACGGGACAAAATGTCTTCCACGACGTCCGCATCACCTACCTTCTCAAGTGATGAGGTTTGTTTACATAGATAATTTTACAGATAGTATTTATTAGTCTGTGTAGGGTATAGATTTCAGTACCGTCTCAGTTCATCTCTCTCAACTTGCCGTAGTTACGTTTGAGCGTAATGGGCGATATCGCAATCGCTAGTTTGTTGGCTCTGCGCTGCCGTAGCGCAAAGATGTCTGCCTCCATGGCTGCGAGACCCGCTCCTATTTAATTATAAATAACGAATTCTAAGGCAACGCAAATATTAAGGTTAAAAGGCTGAGCTCGTAGATGATGATAAATAACATAGTTATGTATAATATATTACATTTCTGACTGTATATCCCTGTAATTATTACACACTGTAGCTTTAAATCTAAACCTATATATGTTTTGTTAATTCATATTTACTTTAAAGGCAGTAGGACACTTTTGGTGGAGCAAGCTATAAGTTGTTACAATGCATTTAAGGACATAAAAGAAGGGGGGGGGGGGGGGCTGCAGAGGAGATAAGACTCTACAGCTTGTGGGAAGCCGGCCCCTCTTGGCCCCCCAGTAGATCCGCCCCTGTCCTGATGGCATTATCGCATGTTGTGGGAATGCTCGACTTCCCTGGTAAAGATGGGTGTAGCTAAATAAAGGATAGCTAGATAGCTCGCTAGCTAGCTAGATAGCTCGCTAGATAGATAGATAGATAGATAGATAGATAGATAGATAGATAGATAGATAGATAGATAGATAGATAGATAGATAGATAGATAGATCTAAAAAAAACACACTAATTCAGTTTTACAGGAAGTTAAATAACATCACGGAGGATCAATAAAGAGGATATTGTTAAACTTTTTAAACTCTGCTGAGGTCCCCGATGTTTGAAGGATTTGTTTTTTTTTTATTTTTAACAATAATTGTTTCTATACTAAATAACATATCAAGAGAATTTTGTTTTGTTTGTTATTAATATAAACACTAAGTAAGCAAACTGATTATATATTAACCTGTATTTGATTAATAAGCTTTAATTCTTCCCACTCATTCAAATACAGTGTGTACATAATAGTACTGCAGTTGCTATAATAGTACTTTCTAGTTTTGTTTGAGAAATTATTTCAATTAATTTTCTGATCTTAACATCTTTGAAATAAACATCCCTAAACCTCAATCTGAAATGTCTGACTTGCAGTTGTAGTTTGGCTGGGCCCATGACTTTGACCTGGATGACTGAGAACCTTCATCAGCATCAATCTTTACACTAATATATTCTGTCATGAATTGTGGACATTAAGATCTAAAGAGAAGCCCCATTTCCTGGTGAGACCCTGTAATTCAGTGAAAGGTTGGAGTCAGAGTAAAAATAATATGCAGGCCCAGGAGAAGGAGGGGGTCACTCCAGTGAGTGGATTCACACTCTTTAACTACAAATTAAACAAACAGAAAGAAAATACAGAAAAGATAACCACTTTTTAGCGTTTTAACCGTATTAAATCCGATGTTTTTCTAGATTACCCAGTGTTATTAGTTTCGGCATTTAATGTGTTTCCATTTTGTATCACTATAAATTTACCACTATTAATTCTCGTATGATGTAATTATTATTATCTGGTATTTAACTTATCACACTGACACATAATTAAGCTGGAATCTTTAACAGCACAGTTTCCACTTCTACAGTTGACCGCAGGGGGGTGCTTAAGGATAATAACAAAATAAATATAGAAGATGATTTGGTTTATGACTGCTGCTAAAACCACCAAGTTAAATTACAATTCTGCATAAAATCATCTCATGCAGAATTGTGCAAAATCCCATGTTATATAATAAAAAAACATCTAGATCAAGAAAATGGATAACCTTTTTTGACCAATGACATGTCCCACATGTGTACTAAACCAACAAGTTTAATAAGTTATTTTCATTTAACCTCAACTTTGTGTAATTTGACATTTAAGGAGTTTATTTGTGTAGAGAAAATAAGACTAAAATACATAAGTTGTAAGTAAGTTCCCTATTTCCTGTTTTTTAAGATGATTTTCACAGTTAGTATAATTATTTAATTACATTTAATCATTTAACTTTATATTTGCATATCTTAAAAATGAGAAACATTAGCCATGACCAATTCATTATTTTTCCCTTGATAATGCAGACATTTTAAACATTAAAAGCCAAGTTTCTCAACAGTATTTACTGCTTTTCACACATATTTAGAACCTAAAAGGAATCTGTACACTTGGAGCACCATTCACTAAGATTTAGTTTCATCATGTTTCCCCTGCCCCTATTTTAAATTTAAAAACCAAAAACCTTAATCAAATAAGAGTAGCACTACTTCACCTTTTCTTGTACTCAAGTAAAAATAAAAACTTGTAATCCAAGAAATTACTCAAATACGAGTAGAGGGGCATTTGTTAAAATGGCTGCTCGGGCACTGGGTGATAGTTGCGTGTTTCATTAGTCTGTTCATTTTTTTAATCATTATTTTAAAGGATGGTTGAAAAACAATGTCTATGTCAAATTTTTGTATTTTATTATTGCTTTTGTCAGATTCAAATAACTTCTATCACCACTGTGGTTGTTTTCACCAAACAATGGGTACCAACCATTTTGTCTTCCACTCAGAATCTACCATTTACTCAAGTTTCAGTAGAAAAATTAGACTATAGTTAAGCTGCTATAGGCTTAAGCTGCTGGAGGACATGGGGACTTTTGTCATTTTGGTTCAGTTTTTACTGTGACTAACTGTATGTGCTCTTCTTCATCCCTTTAGGCATGACAGTTGGCACAGAGCTCAGCTGCTTAAGGAATTATTTTACCGTTGGCTTTCCTAACGTAAAAAGTATTTACAGATCAGGGTCTGTTTCACGAAGCAGGTTTACTGAAATCTCTAAATTTTCTAAACCTGAAATACTGTATGGGAAACTGAGTTTTCCTTTTCACAAAGAGAGTTTACTAAACCTTTGTTTCAGTCACCATAGTAACATTCTCCCCAGAACTAACCTGGTTGGGAGCAGGTTTTGTTCATTAAACTCGGACTCCGCTCTCCTTAGAGCCGATTAAATTGTTTTATATCTTGATTTAGTCAGGTTTTTGTCGTAGTTTTGTGCAAAAAAAGAAATCTTTCAGTAGGCATATTAGGTTTTAAAAACAAAAATTGCATGTCCATTTGACGAGGATCTTATCAAAGAATGATCGGCATTTTTTCCACAGAGAATTAAATATTTCTAGGTAGAGGAGACTACAACTCAGTTGACAGGATGTGAGGTGTATTTGTTTTTGGTTAGTTCACTATGAGCATAATTCAGAGTGCTTTTAATAAATGTAAAAACGGCCTGCCATAACCCACTTCATATAAACCTATGCATTAAAAGGAGCAGTAATCTTCTTCACCTTCTTCCTCTCCAGTTGCAGCACAGTTTATCTGTCTTTTAAACACATTCTCCATTTTTTTTATTCCTTCATCAAAACCTCTAGTTAGAGTGGGATGAAATGGGCACTTCCTGTTGGCTGTTGTCAGGGTGACTCGTTTATTCGGGGCTCCACTGATAATGGCTTTTCATACTTCTCACGCATGTGTTCACTTAGAATTGATTGAACTAATTCATAGCAGCTGTTGTGAAACCGAAAATTCAGAGTTCCCAACCTCAGCCTAGATCATTTTAGGGTTGCAGATTTGAATCAGTCTGTTAAACCTCCTTTTTGAAATGGACCCCAGTGCTTCTGTTTACTTGAATGCCCAGTTGGCCTCAGCAGGTCGCTCATACCAAGCCAGGTTCTGCTGAAGATTTTTGTTAAAAGAAAGCTTTTCCTTTCCACTGACACAGCATGCTTGCTTGGTGTTAGGGATTGCTGTAGAGTCAACCTCAAAATGCAAGCAAAAGTCTGTTTTTTTTTACACATTCTTATTTAGGAGGAACTCAACTTTGAGCCAAACTGATTGTATGATCAGATTGAATAGTCTCTAAAGAGCTTTGAAATAGTGGATGTCCCTGGATAAATTAACTGAACTTAATAGATGGGGAGAGTAGCAATGACTTACAAAAACGTTAGTCAAGTCAAAGTAAACAGTTGTCGTAAAATTATTTCCAAAAGTTCTTTTTTTATATATAATGCATACCAATTAACAAAATGTAAACAAATACATAATGAACAGAAAACTGAGTTTAAATACCAATATTTTATTTGCAAAAGGATACCAGTTAGTACATTGAATGAAGCACTGAAACAAGCCACTGTAACATTGCAAATAACACTAAAAACAACAGTGTAAATTTGAAAGAGGGAAAGAAAAGTCATTTGATCAGGAAGGGATACATATGAAAGAAGAGGAAGGGAGTGTATTTACACCATGATAAAGTGTCCTGTATTTCTACAAAACAAAGTGTGAAAGGAGGCCTCCTCATTTAAGACATTTAAAAAAATGCATTACAAAAATCTGCTAAAGAACATGCCTTTTTTTCTTTTTTTATCAAAAGACGAGTATCTAAAAAAAAAAGGCACCACTGATGGTGATGAATCACACCATCCATCTTTGATGGTGGCAGTCGCTTCATTCAGGACAAACATTGTTTTCTGCTAAATATGTTAAGAGATGTAAAAAGCTGGAACGAGACAACATCATTAGTGAGTGAAGTTTAACACGATTGACCAGAGAGACGGCAATTATTTTTCTTTGCTTTTTTTTTTTGGTACAAAATGGTGGTCAAAGGGATGCATCCCTGCTTATGCTATAATTAGCTGTTGTGCTGGCATAACAGCGCTCCCTGCAGGAGAAAGGTGGAGTTTACAGCACCAGATTGTGATGGCTTGTCTTCAGCATTGAGTGGCTGACAAAAAAATGCTTTTTTTTCTTTTCTTCTAAAAGCTCATCAAGCAGGCGGGCGGAGCATCATGTACTTCTTCAATAAAAGAGGCAATTTCTGTTAAAGATAACTTTAGCAACTCTTGAATCCAAATGCATAGTTTTTAATGCCACAGCTGCAGCATTTTATCACTACTGATAATCGTTGGTTGAGAATTTTGAGAGGCTGGCCTGTAAAAATCTGTTTTCTTAGTGAATTAGTTGCTCCCTGCTTTGTGCTTCAGTCATTTGATTCAGAGACTTCTCAGGCTTGATTCCATTCTAAGAAAAAAACTCCCTTCACCACATTTAGTTGGATACATTATAAGAAGAACGACAGAAGTAGAAATATGGAGATCTTAAAAAATTTGCACACAGAAGCATGAAAAAAACAAAGAATCCTACACAGGTACCTTTAATATAAATTAATAAGCTTTATAAAAATTTCAAACCCAAACATGAAATTTTAGGCGATAATTTTTCCATCACCCTCCCCTGATCCCTGATCTATGCCGAGCCATGCAAAAAGAGGAGAAATCCCACTACTGTTTAGCGCCATAATGAAGATGAATTATTCCTAAGGTTTAAAATGTGTCATGCATAAACTCCATGTGTGCTCGCTTTTTCACAAAGAAAAAAAAAAAAAATATTACATTTAATTTATTGGTCAAAACAACACTTTGGCTTTGAGGCTTTTTTCCCCACCGGCTGTGGTGCACAGAAAAAGGATTCACGCTGCTTGAAACTTTTCCACAATCTGTCACATAACCACAAAATTGGAATCTTGTGCTTTTTACCAATAAAGTTGGACAGCAGATTTGTAAAGTGGAATAAGGTAGATAGTTTTCAACTTTTTAACAATTTAGATTCTAAAGAGAAATTTGTGCCTGTGTTTTCAGCACCATTTTACCCTGATGCCACAAAATAAAAGCCAGAGTAACCAATTCTCTCCGGCAGTAGCTGTAATGCTAAACTAAAGCTTAGCTGTTTTAATGTAATCTCAATATTAATGTAGCTCCTCTATGAATGCCCTCGGAGCAATAAAACTGCACGTCCCTCTAAATCCAAAACCCGCCACGAAACACTGTGATGGCAGAATTATGCTGTGGTGAAGCTTTGCTTCAAGCATGTCAGAGCTGGTGGGAAGGTGGATGTTGTTGAGACTGGGCAATAAGAGAAGGAATCATGTTAGAGATTGTAAAAGATTTCAGACAGAGCAGTGGTTCACCTTCCGAAGTATTTAAAGCATTTTGATGAATGAGCCAGTGACTGACATTCACAGATGCCATCTCCAAAGTTTTTACTGTAGGTTCTTGCACTAAGGGGATTAAAAAAGTGAGAGAAAAAAATGAATTGTGATTAATATGTTTGCCTGGCACCTTTATTGTTCACATCAGATCAAAAAGCAGATGTGAGAAACTGGTCTAAAGGGAATCAATCAACTAGGAAAGGTTAAAATAAAACTGGATTCTGGGCCCATTAGATTCGGCTTTGGTTGTTTTTTATGTACCATAAGGTCCTTCAATAAAACAGCTCAACATAAAAAGTTTCATACAAGTCAACATCATGCACTGCATCTTGTGGAAAACATAGAGGGTAGGAACAGCTTATAGCCTACTGTTTATGTGAGGAGTCAAAGTAGATGAAACACCAACATCAGGAGGAGTGGGATCCGCTGCCTTCACTTCTTTTTTTTCTCTCTATTCAGCTTGAATGTTGATCATTTTTATTACATAATATAAGGCCGGAAATTATACATTTCTTTTAACTTTCAATCATTTAAAAGCAGCAGCTGCATCTCAACTACCATCACAATCACTGTTTGATTTTTCTTCAACTTTGACCCTGTGACCCTGTTAAATGTTGAGCGAAGGTTAGACATCGTAAGATGATGGAAGCACAGCAAACGGACACTGAGCAGAGAGGTTATGGTGGATGGATGGCTGTACACAGTATTTACAGCAGGTTTGAAAAGGCCCTAATCCGGCCAAACAGACCCTCCTCCGACATGGAACCATGAACATTCACACCTTCAACTATTGGACGGAAAGACTGTCACAAAAATGTAAAGTGGATCAAAATGTTGAGTATTTCCCATTTGCTGTTTGGACATCTAAGTTGAAATGAAAAGTACCCCCCTTAGAGACGTGGAAAACTCTGCATTCAGAACAGCAAACAAGTGGATTTATGGTGTCTGAACTGAGCTGATTAGACTGAATTTGACAACAGCTTGTTATTCTTAAGCAGCAAATGGTGTCAAAGGCCCTAAAAAAATAAAGAGAGACAGAGTGGTTCTCCTCGACAGGTGGCACTGTGAGCAAAGGATGAAAGCAGCAGATGTATAAAACTTCTGTGTTTCAGGCCAACCAGAAAGGCTGGCTGCAGGAAGAAAGTCTACATCGACTCGCCGAGGGAGTCCTCATCTTCCAGAGATAAGGGCAGGTAGAGGTCCTGGAAACAGAGAGCATCAGGGTTATAAATGAGCATCAGGATCATCAGTTGGAATTACATTGAAAAATACCCAAAGTTCACTGTTAGAAATTGGATTTTAGGTTGAATGAGCAACACAAGTTGGTGAAAGGGAAGGAAAAGGAGAAATGCGGCATTTCTAATGAATAAAAATGTGACATGCTTGCTTTGTATTCCTGCCCCCATATTTCTTTTGGAATCTTTCAGCTTTGAACTTATTCACACTGGCCGAAAAACCAGTTTAAACCTGCAAACAATCTGCTTTTAGTGGCAGTGGGAACTGCTCACCGACTCCCGTCTACCCGGGTCAAACGACCTGATGCGGCATGCGGTGGGAACATCAGAGCCGGGTTGACCAGCTAAATTGACAGATAATAGAGCCAAACAATAAAGAACAATGACTATACCCTGTCTTCCTTCCATGTTGCTCTCCATTGTTTACTTTCCTGATTTCTGTCACACTGGCGACATCAGCAGAGGCCATGCAAATTCCCACATAGGGGTTAGACCAGATTTTTTTGCCAATGGGAAGGGAGCCAAATATCAATTGTTAGTGGCTGGACCCATGTTTGAAAAATATACTTTAATCCGATATTCAGTGAGAAAGAGGCTATATCGTGTTAAACTTCACTCACTTTTTTTTTTTTTTGCTTTGCTTTTTTCCCACTAAAAGCTTAATCAAACCACCTAGAACTTCTTTGAAGATCAATCTTATTGCCAGAGACCCATCTAAATGTAGGTCTGGATTTTGACGACCAGGGGTGGGTAAGGGGTGGCCATAGTACTCTTGGTAAATTATTAGCCACCCCTGTAGCCACACAGGTTGTTCTATTTCAGGCATCCCCAAACTCGGTCCTCGAGGGCCGCTGTCCTGCAGGTTTTAGAGGTTTAGCACAGCTGATTATCATGATTGCAGTTGAGCTGAAGCCTGTTAATCAGCTTTCAATTAAAATCAGCTGTGCTGGAACAAGGAAACCTCTAAAACCTGCAGGACAGCGGCACTCAAGGGCCGAGTTTGGGGATGCCTGTTGTATTTGGACACAATTCACAAGCAATTCCCCTCTAATCCACAGGGTGGCAGCAGTGATACTCTCATAGGGAATGTTCTAATACATTTGAATTGTTCATATATTTACAAAAACTCAGGAAAAATACAGTAGTTAATTACTTGTATCACTTACATTAGAGATTATAATAACCAAAATTCCTGTTCTTTTCATAAAAACTCTTTTTTTAGGCGTTAGAAGAGAAAGTTATGCATCTGCAGACATCTAGGATTCCTCTATGTAATTAGAGATAAATAACTAAAACATTTGAATGTATACATTAACATAATTATACAAAACAATCATTAATAAAAGTATAGTGAAGCATTTTTCCAGAAATGTAGGTAATAAAAATCGACCCAGTTGTTTTTTGAACAATTGCGTATGCGTAAGACGCTCCTTCTGCTCCTCCACCATCGTTTGAAAGAATCTTCAAAATACAATCTGGGTCATATTTTTTTTTTGAAAGGTCTTTCTTTTCTTCTCCTAAACTTTTAAGACGGATTCTTGTGGCTTTCTGCCATTTTAAAGCATATAATGAGAGCTGGACTGGATACAATAACACTCAAAGCTGAAATAGGATTGTGCGCTATACTTTTAATTTAGAGAGCATGGATGTGTAAATATGTGCTTTTTTATTAGCCTTAGTTTGTTTTTATTTGGAAAACACAGATATTGTGCTCATTTATGTTGAAGAATCATTTGCCATGTCCTCAACATGATTTTTTTCAATTATAGCTTTCTTCTTCCCACTCTTTCATACTGTAAAGACATTGGGTGCTTAACTAATAGTTCTCCTGACTCATTGGATCTCTGCTGCTCCTCCATAGTCAGTGCAGGCCCCTTAAGTGCTTCTAATTAATGTCTTTGTTGAGCAGTCAGCTAGATTAAGAGGTCTGTAATACGCCTTCCATTTACAGTGGACGCACTGAGCAGATCAGAGAAAAATGCATCTATCAAGTTCAAGATGCACCCCTACTGCTCTAAATACATAAGAGACCTCCAGAGGTTTTTTAAGTGGATATAAGTCGCCACTAGAAGATGGAATAAGGCGAGAGAGGACGTCAAAGGACGTTCCAGGAGTTGAATTGATTTTGACCTTGACAACACAGCTGATTAAACCGTATTGTTAGGAGAAAGGGGGTATAATTTGTGTTACGGACTTAAGGGACGCAATCTCACCAGTAACCACATGTAGCAGAGCTTCACGCTGGAATTAAAAGCCATTATAATGCTTTAACAGGAAACGAAACATGAACTTCAAGTACCACTTAAACACAGCCTACAAGATTATCTTGATTGATCATGGGCATGAGATAAAGATGTGGCGGTGGCGTTACAAATGCATGGAAGACATACATAAATCGATGCCAGTCAGTACTAATGCATGAACTTATAATTTTCATGTTGTTGTAAAAACTCCTCTAAGCCCATTTTGGGATTTTTATCTCATAATTAGAAACAATATACATATACATTTCTACCACTGTATAAATACTAAATAATTGTTTCAGCTCCCTTTTGGCGATTTACATTAGTAAACAGGTCATAAGAGAATAAAAGCCTTTTAGCAATATAGTGAGATTATTTTAAATGTTTACCAGATTATGCTATATTTAGGTTGTGAAATTCTTTAGATAATACAGGGCCATCAACAATCATTCAGCACTTAGTCAAGACAATGCACCTAGAAGTGACATCATCTAGACCTCCATTTACGGCAGCATGGACTGTCGTAACCCACTCTGAGTCACATTTAAGACTTCGTGCTACACTTTGCTAAAAGTTTGAGTTAGACACTGAAAAAATAACTTTTAAATAAAGCTTTTAACTTGCATTTTTCGTTCATTAGTCCACTCCTGAGTGGTTCGACTTATTCTAAGAAGTTTGATAAATACGGTCCCCAATATTTTTTCTGTAATCTAATGTAATTTAATCATCTCGATAACTTCGTGATCAATTTGTAATGTTCATTTGTTCTTCAGTAAATCTCCAAAGCCTTAAACAAAAAACACTTAGGTTTAAATTGTACAAAGACAGACTACTTACTGATAAGGACAGTTTTTGAAGCCTTTTAAGGGCATCAGGATAAAGCTACCTTTTTCTTCCACCTCAATCATGTTCACTACTTTGCATTGGTCTGTTTCTTTAAATCCAGATAAAAGTCTAAGGAAATGTGTAGTTTCGAAGTGAAATGATGTGGAAACATTCAGAAATGGTGTGAATATTAAAGAAGCTTTTGGATGAACAAAAGTTTAGGTACCTTCTGCTTGTTCAAGCCTGGACTGGTGGGGGTGGAGGTGGGGGAATGCTTGGATATCGGGGTGGAGATTTGGCTGCTGGAGCCGGTCCCGTTGGCTGAGAGACCCGACAGGGCAGAGAAAGAAAAGAAGTAAAAGGAGATGAAGGGGAAAAAAAAAGTTAGAGTAGCTTGGATTAGATAGCGTGCTACAGCAATGCTCTGCCCCTTTCTATAAAAGTCAGTCCTGAACGATGGCCTTACTTGGCTCTCATCTAGATGCACACCAAGAGGCCGGTGAGTCGGTTTGGCTTCATATTATTCTCAGTCTGCGTCCTGAATTGTTGCTAGGAAGCTCTGTTTATACCACAGAGCAGTGAGAGGTGATGTAGCTGTGGGTTGTAAGAGCCTTAAAAGAGTTTTGTCTACAAGAGATGAAAAGGCTGAACCAGATGGCCAACTTGAGTCTGAGCCATCCACTGTCAAATACAAACAGTGGATAAAGCTCCTCTTCTCCCCCCCGGTTGGCTTCACTTTAACACTCTGAGAGTTAGAGAGTAAAATAGGCTGTTTCAGCTTGTTAAAAAGTAAAACTCACTCCAAAAAAAAAAAGAAAAAAAGCCCAACAGATCAGAATACATACTACCTTAAGAACCAGTTTGCACACACAAGTAGCTCTTCCAAATGAATGAGATAAAAAGCCGAGAGAACAAACATCCAGGTGGAGAGAAACGTCAAAGAAATGTTCAACAGTGGAAGAAACGCAGACTTTTCATGCCGTCTTTCATATTGTTATATGAAATTTTTTTATTGCCAAAAAAGTTTTTGAATGTAGACCAAAAAGCTTTGTAAATGTTCTTTTCTAACTCTATATTTCTATGTCAGACATTTTAACATGGCTGTCTAAGGCTCTATTATATCAAACTATCATCTTCCAAGAATCAGAAGTTAGTTGGAGCAAAAGGTGGAAAACCAGACATCAGTGTCTCTACAGTAGTCCCTACAGTCTGCAGTAGTCCTTACAGTTGGTTTATTGGTTGATTGATTGGCTTTATGATCTCACAGTTTAGAAATCTACTTTTTACATCAGCTCAAATAGTCAAAGGAGAAGAATGGGCCAAAGGAAGAAAACAATGCATGGGATATGTACACTGTATACAGTGCATACACATATGACAGCTTTTTATTAAATTTTTTTTATAGTAGGATTATTGTACAGGGTAATTGCACAGGGTGTTTACATGGGTATATATATATAGATGGATATTTTTACATATATAGTTATTGCACTGGGTGTCAAATATAGAGAAACAGGTTATATAGTAATTGCACACTATACATTGCACGAGTTATTGGCGTTGTAGTGTCCATTGTAGAGTCTGGGATGAATGTAGTGCTCCTTTTTACAAACAAGGTGTAAAAGTTCTGGGTGGGCCCTAGAGATAGACGGACACATAGGCTAATAATAGCATTTGTAGATGCGTTGGCCCGATTCATTGGTGCTTTTGCAGCCATGCCTTGAGATCACATTAAGCTCATGGTTTGCTGCTCAATCCATTAGCAATTTTTTGTTAAAGTTTTGTTTGATTTGTTGATCATTTTTTTCTAAAAACTGATTTGTGTAACATTTCTTAACATTATGTCATTTTTATTGTGTAAATCGAAGAAGACAAAGCCATGACCCACATTAAATGACCTTAGTTAAGAGTCAACGCATAGTTGAAGCTTTGTTTTATGGAAAAAGTCTACGTGACAAGAAAAACTGGTACGGTCCTCTCGCTGTAAGGCAGATGGAGGAAAATTGTGAACTAGACCTTAAATACTAAAGTCTGCTACGAAGAGTTTGCAACTCAAAATAAACAACTAATATTTACAGCTATACATATACAAAATTTACACATTTTGGAGAAATGTTTTAATATAAAAAAAAAGAGACTGAGACAGCTCTATCCATCTCATTTTTGGTTAAAAAACAAACTAAATTTCCATGTTGATATCTTCAGACAGCTGCACAATACTTCTTTTATGAAATCAGTCGTTTGTCACATTAAAAGCTAATAAACAATTAATAAGGCAGCCGCTGAGGGGCCAGGGGTCGCAGGGGCTGATGGATATCATTAAATATTAACCTGTCTGGTTGTCCAACAAACAGCTCACAGCTGTTCTTGTTATCTTTGTTTACTTTTCTTGATTTATTCATGTTTTTCTTCTCTTCTTCCTAAAAATGGAGTGTCTTAAGCTGCCGGATGCAAAGTCTGATTATCATCTCTACAAAAAGACTGGATTTAAACTTCGCTTATTCCTAGAACGCATAAGGACTCTCATATTTAAGTTAAAGGGGCTGATGTCTGATCCACCCAGCTACTCTTCTTGCAGACTTCTCTTAAAGAACAACAAAGGTGTTAAAAACCAATCATCTTGGATATTTGCTCATTGGATTCAAGCCACCTTCTGCTCATACAGGTGCTGGTCATAAAATTAGAATATCATGAAAAAGTAGATTGATTTCAGTAATTCCATTTAAAAAGTGAAACTTGTATATTATATTCATACATTACATACAAACTCATATATTTCAGATGTTTATTTTGTTTAATTTTGATGATTACAAATGACAACAAATGAAAATCTCAAATTCATCATATCAGAAAATTAGAATATTACTGAAGACCAATAAAAACAAAGGATTTATAGAAATGTTGGCCAACTGAAAAGTATGAACATGAAAAGTATGAGCATGTACAGCACTCAGTATTTAGTTGGGCCTCCTTTGGCCTGTATTACTGCAGCAATGCGGCGTGGCATGGAGTCGATCAGTCTGTGGCACTGCTCAGGTGTTATGATAGCCCAGGTTGCTCTAATAGTGGCTTTTAGCTCTTCTGAATTGTTGGGTCTGGTGTATTGCATCTTCTTCTTCACAATACCCCATAGATTTTGTATGGGGTTAAGGTCAGGAGAGTTTGCTGGCCAATTAAGAACAGGGATACCATGGTCCTTCAACCAGGTACTGGTAGCTTTGGCACTGTGTGCAGGTGCCAAGTCCTGTTGGAAAATGAAATCTGCATCTCCAAAAAGTTGGTCAGCTGCAGGAAGCATGAAGTGCTCTAAAACTTCCTGGTATGTGGCTGCGTTGACCCTGGACCTCAGAAAACACAATGGACCAACACCAGCAGATGACATGGCACCCCAAACCATCACTGACTGTGGAAACTTTACACTGGACTTCAAGCAACGTGGATGAAGTGCCTCTCTTCTTTTCCTCCAGACTCTGGGACCTTGATTTCCAAAGGAAATGCAAAATTTACTTTCATCAGAGAACATGACTTTGGACCACTCACCAGCAGTCCAGTCCCGTTTCTCTTTAGCCCAGGCAAGACGCTTCTGACGCTGTCTGTGGTTCAAGAGTGGCTTGACACAAGGAATGCGACAGCAGAAACCCATGTCTTTCATACGTCTGTGTGTGGTGGTTCTTGAAGCACTCACTCCAGCTGCAGTCCACTCTTTGTGAATCTCCCCCACATTTTTGAATGGGTTTTGTTTCACAATCCTCTCCAGGGTGCGGTTATCTCTCTTGCTTGTACACTTTTTTCGACCACATCTTTTCCTTCCCTTCGCCTCTCTATTAATGTGCTTGGACACTGAGCTCTGTGAACAGCCAGCCTCTTTAGCGATGACCTTTTGTGTCTTGCCCTCCTTGTGCAAGGTGTCGATGGTCGTCTTTTGGACAACTGTCAAGTCAGCAGTCTTCCCCATGATTGTGTAGCCTATAGAACTAGACTGAAAGACCATTTAAAGGCTTTTGCAGGTGGTTTGAGTTAATTAGCTGATTAGAGTGTGGCACCAGGGGCCATCAATTTTGAACCTTTTCACAATATTCTAATTTTCTGATATGATGAATTTGAGATTTTCATTTGTTGTCATTTGTAATCATCAAAATTAAACAAAATAAACATCTGAAATATATGAGTTTGTATGTAATGTATGAATATAATATACAAGTTTCACTTTTTAAATGGAATTACTGAAATCAATCTACTTTTTCATGATATTCTAATTTTATGACCAGCACCTGTACATTATTGATCTGTTATGCTCACCATCCCCCCCAGAATCAGGTCAAAGGTCAGCTCCATCCCTCTGCTGTCACATGTTTCATTAGATCAAAACAACACAAGTGTTGTTTGTTTCTCTTTCGTCTTTGTGCTTTTAACCAGGCGTGGCCAGAGGGTGGGGATTACTCACTCGAATCAGCAGGCGACTTGCAGCGTTTGATTGGACCGGGACTCTTTACCGAACCACGCTGGGCTTTGGCTCCCTTCATCAGCCTGCATTCTGTGGGACAGATGAAAAAGAAAGGGAATCAGAACCCTTTAATCAAACTGATCACATAGCCGGATGTTATTACAGACGAACCAGAGCTTCCGACCATAATACCGCCTCTTTGATATCCAGTTACAGAAAGAATTCATTCCAGGATTTTTTAAATGTTTAATATCTGGGTCACTGTAATAATCAGAGCAGACAGCCTCCAGACGTCGCTGCTCCTCCCTGCATCTTCCATTCTGTTTATACTGTCAGTCTCTCTTTTCTCCTCCACCCCCCTTCCCTTCAACTCTTTCGTTCCTTTTGATTCTAATTATACTTCCTGTTCTCCCTCCATCCGCTGGGATCGCACCCTATCAGTCTTCACCTTCACACGCCGCTGGGTTCAGACCTAGAATGGGTGGTACCATTGTTTGCCCAGTGTGTCGCCACCCGTCTTTGACACTACTTCAGACTGGCAGCCTGTCTCGTCTGGTTAGGATTCCCAAAATAGCCAAGAGTCCCATCAGATTCCTAACCCTATGAATGCCGGAGCTGCATTAATAGAGAAATATTTACAGCTGCTTATTTTTATTAATTATTATTTGTTAAAAACTTACTCTAAAACATGCCTGCATTTTCCCTTCTAGATCTACCTATAGTTCACCAAATGTTGTCATTGCCTAACAGCCGTTCACATCCTTTGTTTAATATTTTGCCCAGACACTTTTGGCAGCCAAGTCTCAGGTTTTCTTTGGCATTTTCTACAAAATTCTTTGCAGAAAAGCAAGCTAGGTAAATACATTCTTTTAAATACGTATTTTCTCCTTGATTTGAGCAATTGAGACAATTTACAAACAGAATGAGAATATGTATGTTTAAAACAAGAAAAAATAACTCCATTATCTTATTTCAGGTACATTAAGCATCCAAGGTCACATATACTGATACCATTGGAAGGTCACTCATTTACTTAGATTAGGTTTCATTCTAAATCCTGAATCAACTACAAATAAACTGAAAGGTGCATCTTAGCTACCTGTTTTTACTTTTGCATTGGGAGTTATTCAGTGTGGGTTTTTTTTCTGTTTTGAAGAAAATATAAGAGTTGAATGGGGGTGCAAACACTTTTCAGTGGCACTTTAGTGCAGTAGGTACATTCTAATGCCAACATGGGCTCATTTGACATTCAATAAGTAATTATTAGCACATGTTTAGTCCAAACAGAAGCCCTGGAAAATAAGATATCATTCATTCCAGTTAGTCTCCAGGTTTTCCTCATACCAGAGACTGGATGAACTGAATACAGAGAATGTAAGCATCTTCATTCGTCTTTGTTTGGAGGATTTATGAAGGCTATAGACTTTAATGTCCCCACATGATGCACCGCAGACAAACCTCCCTCCTCGGCTCTTTCAAGGCAAACTCAGACTCTGATGTCGGCATGTCTGAGTCTCCCAGTCATTTTCTCTAGTGCTGGCCTGAGGTTAGAGACTATAAGAAACAATTTAGCATAGGGGTCCAAGAGGGACACAGATCATTAGTGGAATGTCTATTGGAGAGAGAATGGATAGAGGAAAACATAATAAGTAAGCTCTGCAGCACTTTGTGTTGGATGAAAAGATTGCAGGTTTCCAGGAGGGGTTTATGTAGAACGAGGACATTAAAAATAGGTCTGTCAGGTCTGCAGGGAGAAGACAGACTCAGCAAGACACTTGGTTTTACATTTTCTCTTCTCAATGTCATAGTAGCATCGGCACAGACAGATCAGCTGGCCTGAACCCGTCAGTGGACAGATTAATGGCTGTCTGACTTCAGTCCGTTTCTAGCCAAACTGCTGGCAGCTGATAACGTTCCTCTTTAGCTCCATCTCTTACTGCCTCTTTGTCGTTATCCTTCCAGCGCAGATCATTTTCCCCCTCCCTCAGCTTTGTATATTAACCTTCAAGCTGACAGAGAGAGATGGACAAACAGAAGGGTGTTTGCAGATTTCTCTTTTACCAACTCATTTTACTACATTGAGGGCTTTGAGGCTCATACCAACGCTGGGAATTTTTTTTTTATTGAGAAGAAGATGAAGGTAATTGTTGGTGATTGTGCTTTACCGTTAAAAGTATTCACTTACTTATCATATCCAGATTAATTGAATCATATTCTGACTCAATTTTTTGGGTTAAAAACAATTCATCTGATTAATAAATTATCTAAGTGGGGAGTGGCGGCCTAGTGGTTAGGGCATAGATCTTGGAATTCTGAGGTTCTGAGTTCGAGCTCCACTCCCACAGTCTGCCACTCTGGGTCTCTGAGCAAAAACCCTTAACCCCACACTGCTCCCCGGGCGCTCCACAATGGCAGCCCACTGCTCCCCAAGGGCATGGGTTAAAAACAGAGGTAAATTTCTCCAATGTGAGATCTATAAGGTTAAATTATTATTAAATGATCATCAGCTAATTTAGCAATCAAATAAATGTTAACTGGAGCCTACATACTCACGCTTTCCCTTAGCTGAAAAATAAAATTACTCTGAGCAGTAATTAGGAGAAAAAATACATATTCATTTTACATTAAGATATAAAACAGTTTTTGTCTGTTATGTGCCCCATCCAGAACTGCTTAACTGGCTCCACCTGATTTAAAAATCTGCTTTTTTGGTGCCTTTTATAATCAGATCAATAATTTAAAATATTTGCTTACTACTTTTGCAAACAATGGATTGCTTTCAGGAGCTCGCTATGTCAGGTCTGGTACTTGGATAAAGATTCTGCCTGTTCAAGCTCAATCATTAAATTTCACAAGTAAATATACCATCTTTAACACAGTGGGATCAACTGGAAACAACAACTGGGCCATGAAGTGGTAAGCTGTGTAATAACACAAAACTTTGCGTGTCCTAGAATGGGTTTCCATGGTTGGATCCAAGCCTTGCATAACCAAATACGATGCCCTGCATCAGATGTGTTGGTGTACAGCAGAGATTCTCACATTTTTCAGCTTCTGACCAACAAAACAGTATCCATGTTGACTTATTACCCAAACCATTGGTTGATTATATAAACCTTTAATGTAATAATATTACAAAGAGTACCAACAACCAAAATAAGTTGGTTTTGTCTGTTTTTAAGTGATGCTTTTACATTTTGTTTCATTTCTGTAGTGGATCTCAAAGCCCAACAGAGGTTGACAGACGACAGCAACATTGGGATTCAATAGTGCAAAGCAAAACTCCACCACAGTCTGTAGCTGTGGAGACATGTTTAAATGTCCAAGTGGTTGGGAGACAATTTTCTGGGATCATCTTAAGGATGTCCTTTTCCTGTTACGACGTGACCACACCATGGGCAGGGTACCAATGTTTATCCAAAAGGACATGGATCAGCAAGTCTAGTGCTGGAAAACTTGACCGGGTTAGGGTTAACTTCCTGTCCAATATTAGTGTCATCCACGTAGATAGCAAGTAATAGATATTGGAATGCTTTAACAGAAGAGCTAAAGCTATTACAGCTGTAAACATTGGGCCAATATTATGTTAGCGCTTATGAATTAAAAATGGGATGTAGAAAGAGGCAGACAAGTGAATACATCTTCCAACATTGTGCATTTACTCGTGAAAGACCCCTGCTGTTGCCTTCATGCTCACCATTCTCATCCAGTGAGAAGTCGTCCTGTGCATAGCGAAATTTCTCTGGTCCACAGGCGATGAAGACATCGTCATCACCAAAGAAGTCTTGAAGGCAGGTAACCTTTGAAGGCAGAATAAAAAATAGTTAAGAAAAAAGGGCAATATTGCATCAAGCAGCCAACAGTTTGTCTTCACATGTGGGTATTTTTTTATCAAACAGATGCATCAATGATTGTTTCAGGCATTACAGAGTCTTTACCACTCAGGTTTGGTGTTCCTTAAGCTAGGGCTGCATTATTAGGAAACTTGAAAGATAACATATTTTCAAAATCATAAAGCTCAACTGTGGGTATCTTAATTTACTTCTCCACATCATGAGGCCAAACATCTGATCTCTTTTTATTTAAAGTGTTTCATATCAACAGAACACCCAGCTTTTGTTGTATACCAATACTAATCACATATCACAACTGCAGCTGATGTGTAGCCATCTGTCCAAATTGACCAGAGACACTAAAAGGTCTAACAAAAATACTCGAAATGAATACTGCTTTATAGAATTGAAGGTGTTCCTTCAGCAACTTTGATCAGTTTTCTGAAAATCTTTAATACCAGGTCGCTGTTTATCGGCTTCGACCAAACAAACTGTATTTTAGCTTTGCACTATCATGCTCTCAGCTCTAGGGGTGAGTATTGGCATATGTTTTGCGATACACCATGTGTCACAATACGATATCACGATATTGCAATATCACTATGTATTAGAATATTTTAACCCAGCTATCAAAATTAAATGTATAGACAAAAAAGCCAATGCATGTTTATGTAATCAGAACCTATTTGGGGTTTGAGTCAATCCACGTCTTAAACCGACTTCCTCAACAGCAAAAGATCTCCACAGCGCTATCTGTGGCGATACTGGGGTAGCCCATTTTCCCCTCATTGTTTTATTTTTTATAATTTTTTTTTTTTATTGATATTACAGTAGGATGTAAAAAAAAATATTATATTGGGCAACCAAAAATCCTGATATAATCCAAATGGATTTTTACCCAACACCCCTATTCAGCTCTTTAGAATTTTCTTAGAGAGAAAATGTTTGTCCTGTCTGTCTGGATGATTTGATTATCTCAAAGTGCCTTAAGGTTGACACAAATGCTATGCTAGATTTATTTCTTACAAATACTTTCAGCCCAAACCCAAACCAATATAAGGCTGATGAAAAAGCTGGGCAAAGATGGAAGGACAAAAATGTTTAGGCTGGAATTAAAGCAATGTGCTTCTTGTTTCTTGATTGTGTTCTGAGGATTCCTTGACTTTACATACTGCTTTTTTCAAAGTGATCCATGGTGAAAGATTATTTTATTCTTGAACCTACACCAAAGGAAAAGAATGTTCCTGTGAAACAATTCAAGTGAAAACCTGTGAGTAGAACCTCCAGTTCTCAGCACACCTCCATTGTATCTTACTCAGCTAGATAACATGCCTTCAGCCACACTTGGTTCATGTGACAAAACACACACAGACCCAAACAAAAGGGCAGACAAAAGCGCAAACAAAACTGATAAGGCTACACCTTTTCTATAATGTTTAAATGCTTTGACTTCCTTCCCCTGGGTCCATTCAATCAGCAGCTGCTGAAACAATATGGCCTACTTAGTGGACAGATGTCTTTGGGCCACACCTTCTCCTCCACTCTCCATTATACAGCCCCGACACGCCTATTAGAGCCATTCAATCTAAAAGCTGCTTTATTCTTAGTGGAGCATCTCTGACAGACTTCCTGCTCAATATTCTATACCTGTTGAAACCTAACTTTTGAGAAAAACGCATTCACAGCAGCGCTAATGTAACTGAATCACTCTGCTGGACACTCTTTGAGGCCCCAAGCCCAGAACCCGGCTCTGTGTTTGGAGGGATGCCAGGGTAGTCGAGATGCATCGTGGTTTCCCCTTTGTGATGCGCATCCAAACTATGAGCTGCAGATAATTTGAGAACACTCCACCCCACCAGCTGCCATGTTGAATCTCAGTCCTGCTAGACAAGCCAAAAGTGTGCGGTGGCGGTGGTGACTTTCTGGCGTGGCATTTAACAGCTGTACGAAGGGGGGGGGGGGACCCTTACAAAAACTCCCTGGATACAGGCCCCCTGGATCCATACGAGGATACGAATGAAGATGGTGCTTTGACTCCAGGGATCAAACCCTAATTAGTTTTTCTCCATTCCCAATTCAAAGGCAACACATTTGGGTTATCTAGTGATTTTATTATAAGGAGATAGAACCATGTTATCTAGAATAGGCGTAGTGATGTGGAGCAACAGAAACACCAGGCTGTCGGTTCTGAGCTGGAGGATAGATAGAAGTTAGTTTTAATAGCTTTAACAATAGAGCTGATTAAAAGGATCAAGATCTAATCCAAACAAGGGCTATCTTAATCTTTATGAACTAAATCTCTACTCAAACTCAGGATTGGGATTACCTCAGAGGGAGACCACAGAAGAGTTTAGTTCTTTAACAATCTGTTCAATCTTTCTGCAAATAGAATGAAAAACTAAGAGAAAGAATATGACCAAACGATTCTATAAAATTGGCTCATAAGTTAAAACAAAGACACAGGAAGTGATGTCATTCTTATCATGTATCATTTTCTAATAAGAAACCACCATGGTTTGATCATCGTTTTGTTCAGAGAGTAGGTTAACATTTAAGGGACATATTCCTGTTATATATAAGAAAAGAGCAAAAACAATTTGATTCTGATAAAATGAGGTTGCATATATCAAGCTTTTATCCTGATATCATTTAGATGGTCCTTTTCAAGCCTAAATAGAATTCCAGCATGATGAGCTGACATAAATAGAAGCGTTGGCAACCCTACAGAAGTATCAGAAGGTTTTGGCAATATGCAGCTACTTACTAGAGCTCAAACATTCTGCAATGCTTTGGTAAAGTTAAGAGCTCAATGTCGCCTACACACTCTTTAATTAATCAGTCTATTTATTTATAATAGTGTTTGAGCTTACACTGAAGAGACTAAAATAGCGTGGCTGTCACTAGTATCAGCGTTAATAGGGATGTTTTCTCACCCATCCATCAACTTTGCAGCAACATCTTAATTAGGGCGAGCAGATCTACAAAAGTGGGGCAACTACGATGCTTAATAAGTTTTCACCTGTTTCTTTCTTAACCCAGTGTCCAATTGCATCTTACTCCCCTCATAGCAAATGAAAATTTGCAGACTTTACATAAAAGCTCTTTGAAAATCCCCGGATTTACCCAGTTATACCAATCTGCAATCTTTGTTGAATTTTATTTTCCTTTAAACATAGTTTCAACCATATTTTGTATTAAAACCTTTTATCTGTTCTGTTCTAAGAAATATTGTGCACATGTTGGTCATGACATGGGCCACTGGCACAGCTCTGCTTTCTTTGCATTTAGGAAAACTTTCTGTGGAAAAAAAATAAATAAAGAGGTTCTTTATGCAAACCAGGACATCATGCAACCCTAATCATATTACCTCTGCAGCTTTAGCTCCAACTTTAGTAAACACCAGAATTCAGCTAATTTGTACAAAGGGACAAGTTTAACAAATATTGCAGCAGAAACACTTTTCAAGCGGCGTAAGTGGCATCAATAGAGGTGGGACTTTACAATTTCAAATCAAGCATATCTGGGTTAAAATGGCCCTTCAATTCAAACCACTGATTGGCTATCAAAGTTTAGAGTCTATGAACAAATTTTCTATAAATGGGTAAAAATCAACAACACTTTATCTTATCTATGCAGAAATGTGATTTATTTAAACGCAGTTTAAAGCTTCTAAATCTGAAAGCATATACATGACATTTATTTTAATAATGTATTGGACCTGGCATCAGTGAATGCCAGAAGGATTAAGAAAACCTGCACTGAAACTTGACTGAATGCAAATGTCAAAACTGACAGATAAGAGGGGAGACGAACACCATCTATTGTTCTAATTTTGTCTAATTTAAGAAGGAACGTCTCTCAATGGAAAAATGTCAACCACATCCAGCAAGTACTGCTATCCATGGATAATATAAAAGAAAAATATATATAATTCTTATAGAAAGCTTATAAAAAACAAACCAAAAAGAGATTATATAGGCAAAGCACACAGTGTTATCATACCCATTTGAGTTTATCTAAAGTAGGGGGTCAGGGATTAATTTTTTTGAAACTGCCCCTGTCCAGACTCTGGGTGCCCTCCTCCACCCTCCTTCACACCGAGGCCCATCCTTAATCTGTGCCTCACCAGCTGTCAGAACCACATGACCCGATGAAAACCACCAGCCCTCCATCAGATACAAGGGACCCAAACAGTGGGCTTTGAATAATCCTGTAGAAATAAAATTGTTAAAAACTGATTCAATCTTAAGACATCAGTGACTGATGAAAACAACCTACAAAAAATAATGAATGCACTTTGTTTGATTTGCATTAATGGCACCAATAAGGCAGCAAACCGGATAACTGTAGGACAATCATTTGTTTTTTTGTTTCCACCTTATTCACTCAGATCGTCATTGAGGAGACACAAAAATAATGCGCCGCCTCATATCTCATCCCTAACTTGATAAAGGCATATCAATTGATCTCTGAGTAGAAGTGCAATCATTTAGCATCTGAGTAATGGACTTCCCTCTAATGCTCCAATGAGTCAGCAAATTATAAAGTATATCTAACTGCTTTAAATGCATGATGTTTGATCTTAAACAGCACAGCAGGGTTGCACAACAACAATAAGACATGTGACAAATGTGTACTAAACAGCAAGTAGGAAGAAAAGACCACAAAATAATTAATTTTCTCTTTATAACCAAGAAAATCTGGTTTATATTCCACTCCCATGAATGAACACTCCTTGGAGCCACATTTCATTTCCCTTTTATAGCCTTTATGGGGCATTTAAAAAAGAATCTAATGGTTTTTCATATTTCTTTTCCAAATAGTTCCAGCCCAGTCAGTTTAGATGGAGATCAAGCCTGTAGACATCCAAATACAAGTCTTGTGGCAGATCATGAATTAAATTTGGGTCTGAACTTTGACTGGACGACTCCAACGCATGAATACATTTTTAAATCCGTAGCTCTAGC